TCAGGTGTGGGGGATAGATGGGGTACACAGTGTGGGGCAGGGGGGATGGATGGGGTACACAGTGTGGGGCAGGGGGGATGGATGGGGTACACAGTGTGGGGCAGGGGGATCAATGGGGTACACAGTGCACACTTTCAGAGCTATAGGGTTTGTCTGACATTGTACCATGTGTTGAAGATTGATGGGTCAGTTCTTTCTCAAAGAGTTGGCAGTTCTGACTATAGCTTAGCCCGGGCTTGGTGCCCTTAGTACAGTGGCAGCAATTTTCCCTCCTTGCCCACTTCCACATGGAGGTCGGGTATGCGGTGTTCCCAGGAGGTCTGCTCTGCAAGGCTGTACACCTGGACATTGATACCAGGAGGAAGGGACCTATCCAGGGTGGACCTGCCTGGAATCTCAGGGGCTGGGGTGTAAGGAGACAAAAATCAGGAGGGCCCCATCCCAGTGTGTACCTGCCAGGGTGCAGACCCCACAGAGGCATCATTACACCCTTTAGGGTCAATCCTTCACCCCCATCAGAGAAACGAAAGCTCAAAGCCAAGGATGTCCCTCTTGACTCCATTTCTGCTCCAAGACCCACGTTTACCTGCAGGCAGCATCCACACCCACAGCCCCACAGTGCTGGGGCTTCCCTCCCTGCAGCCCTTGCAGCCCCCACGCAGCCAGTGCAGGAGGCCCTCTCAGGCCATTCCCACCCCAGCAGGCTGCCTCACTCTCTCTGGAGGCGACTCCCAGCACCCAAAGGGCATCCCATGGGCTTGGCATGGAAAGGGTTTTAGGGCCAGCCCAATGGCAAAGCTATTGATCAGGGCAACCTGTTCTTTACTTTTGGGGTCAGTGAACCTGACCTCCATTGGTGTCTTCTCTGAGGGTCAAGGCCACCACAGTAATAATGATAACATTTAAGGAGCATTGCCTGTGTACCACCCGAATGTGCACATTGCCCACCCTCACAACTGTGAACTGGCTGCTATCATCTTCGTTTTAAGAAAGAGAAACGGAGGCACAGAGAGGGTACTGACTTGTCAAGATCACAGGACTGTCTGCTTTCCACCTCTGGACCCTCCACTACAGGCTCTATCATACCAGACTGTGGAGGGCCTCGAATGCCAGGCAGAGGGGCTTGATCAGATGTCAGAAGGCGCAATGAACCCTGGAGGGTCCTGAGTGGGCCTGACCTAATTAGATTTGCAGTTTAGAAATAGACTGAATGCATTAGAGTGGGAGGGGCCTCGGGGGCTGTCTGGGGAAGCAGCAGGGAGGGGCTTTAGGTGGCCCAGCTTTAGGAGGCCAGGCTAGGCCCTTCCATCTGTGTGACTGCTGACAGGTCCTGGCTCCCCAGGGTACAGATGGAGGGAGCAGACCTGTCTAGGGTGCCTGCTCATCCAGCATGTTCCACGGTGCCATCCTGCTCCAAGCCCCATGCCCAGATCCACACCTTCCCAATACACCTGAGCCAAGGGCTTGAGTGTCAAGGTGTGATGAGGTTAGTTCAGATATCAGGCTGGAGGAGGAAGATGGGGAGTAAGGTGAGGGTTTAAGGAGTGAGAAGTGGAAACAGGATGGGCGGCAGGCCATGGGAGCCCACCATGCCCAGGGGGATGTCGTGCACACATGCATACCCACTTCCAACTCTGCAGAGGGGCAGCAGGCCTGGGAGTTGCCACCCAGACAGAATGTGACTCCAGGACTTACCTGCACTGTGACCTTAAATGATAGCTACAGTGACATACTGGCAGGCACCTGGTGCCAAGACGAGTACTCACCATGCATTATGTCATTAATCCTTACCCCCTCTCCATGGTTGGTAGAACTCACCCGTTTTACAGATGAGAAAATAGAGACCCAAAGATTGAAGGGACTTGCCTTGGATTGCTCGGAAAGTGGAGGAGCCGAGACACAAGGCCAGTGTCCCATGCAGGAGCCTGTGTTGCTAAGTGTGGTGCTGGTTCCCCCCGAGCTTCAGCTTCTGGCAGTGGGAGAGGAATATTTGCCCTGCGGGCTGTGGAGAGGATGCAAGATCACACCAGTGACAGCACCAGGGCCAGCAGAGCGCGCACACATATGTGCTGAAGCCATGCGCCTTCCTGCCGTCCCTTCTTTGCCTGTTAGCCCATCTGTGTAATTGTTGAATGCTGAGGACCAAGGGGACCTTAACAGCAGCTGCAAGCAGAACCCACATGCCCTCAAGGCCCCTGGCATGTCTGGGGTGCTGGCAGTGATACCAGCCATACCTGCTGCATCCTCATCCCAGACCAGTCCTCAGAAGGTAGCACCCCTTCTCCACCTGCTGCTACCTCTGCTTGCTACCTGGAGGGACGGACCCCCCATCACAGTGCCCTGGCCAGCTGCTTGTTGTATTCCAGCCTGTGACTCAGCTCTGGGAAGTTCTGGGGGTGCAGGGAAGGGCCAGGACAAGGCTGGACAGAAGTACAAGAATGTGGCATGGACATAGGACCATTGGGGTACCTTGATGAATGCTGGAGGGAAGAGGGTACATTCACAGGCCTGGGAACCCCTATTGGGTCACATTTCTAACCCACCCTTTGCCCTATGAATGAAATTCTAGCCCTGCCCTCAGGAACTCCCAAACCGTCAGCCTGGAGGCATGGAGAGAAGGCTGCCTGTGTGAAGCAAAGACCTTCTAACCCACAAGCTCAGGGTGTGACCAAGGAAGGGCCAGGAAGGTTGGAGAAGGTTCAACTCATGGTTGAACACCATGAGTTGTCTGCCCAATGAGCAAAGGAGGGAAGGGCATTTCAGACCAAGAGAACAGCTCAAGCAAAGCCCGAGGGGCATGAGAGTTCCTGACAAATTGGGAGCTGATCACTCCCCTGCAGCTACAGCATGATGCATGGGGTATATGCAGATGGGAGAGGCATCAGGGAAGACCACGAACACCAAGCTGGAGATCCTGAACTTCTGAAAAATGTATAAATAACTGATCAGTGGGTTGGAAGGGAAGGCATCCCGGATGGGGCACAGCCTGAACAAAAACATAGGGGTGGGAGGAACTCTGCTGAGGTGGAGGGCTGGTCAGAGGGGCAGGGACCTTGTAGAGGGAAGATGATGTACTGACCTCCGGAGTCCGGTGGACTCTCCCAAAGTCAGGAAAATCACCCAGCATGTGAGGAGTTACTGCGCCTCTGCCTCAGATGTCTGCCCTCCCCACACGAGACAGAGAGGACCAAGGCTCTGGCTGGGTGCAGAAAGGCAGCGCGCTTTCCAGCTTCAGCATCGCCACCTCACTTTGGAGAGAACTTGGCACAGAGCCATTGCAGGAGAGCACTGGGGCGCTTGTGGCCTATTTACTCCCCAAACAGGATTTCCTTCTGGTTTTGATGCATGGAAAAGGCACAACATCTGGAATTAGGAGCAGAATAGCCTCTAAAGCCCAGCTGCAGGCAGCCTGCCTTGGAGCAGCCCCAGCAGAGCTCAGCCTGCAGTTGTGGCCCAGCCTTCAGGAGACAGGCACTCATGGAGGGAACTCACCCCACCCTCGTCATTGTCTCTGGGTCCCTGTCCTTGCATCTGTCCTGGCTTAGGGGATGAAACAAGTGACTTAGGAGAGGGAGCCAGCCTCCTCTGGTCTCTTCCTCCCCAAGGGTCTGCTTCCCCCGGCCCACTTGTCCCCAGAAGGCAGTAGACATAGCTGGGCTTTGGTGTTAGGTGTGACCTGCATCCTGTCTTTGCTATGTCACAGCCCTGTGATCACACAAAGCCTCCGCCTCCAAGATGGGGAACTTGAGGCCACACACCTCATAGGCTGTGTGGTGAAACACGCAGCACCAGCCCTGGGCAGACAGAGCAGGTCTGTGTCAGCTCCTCTGCCCCCACCTCAGTGGGCACTGCAGGAACACTGGCCTGGCTCACCAGCCACACACAGTGGGGGAAAGCAGGAAGGAGCAGCCAGTCACATCAGGGGACCAGGGAACGTGCCACCGGCCAGCATTCGAGCTGGACCTGGGAGGCTGAGGCGGGGAATGGATTGTTACAATGGAGGGGCCATTCCTTGCTGAGTGACTTGTGGGAATGAAGGCTTGAAACTGCCTGGCAGATTCCTGCTGGGAGGCAGTATGGGGTGGGAGTCCAGAGGGCCAGAAAGGTGGGGAGGGCCCAGGGGCTTGAATGCCAGGCCCACAGGGCTTTAGGCAGAGAGTGACAGCGTCCCATTTCTACATCCAACTTCCTGTAAGCTGTGAGAGTAGGGAGAGAGGAATTAGCAGTGAGAAGATTGGGGAGAGAGGCGGGGGCTCGGCACAGGCTGGGGGCTGCAGAAGGAGGGCACTGCATCTGTTGCTCTGTGTCCAGTCCCACCCCTGACCAGGGGCATCATACGTCTGAGGTGCGCCCACTGCATGACCATTGCCCAGCAAGGGGCCTGGTACATGGGGGGCACTGGACAAAGGGCCAAATGATAGAGTTTACAATATCTCTGGGCCACAGATGCGGTCATCATTCAGACAGCAGTCAGCATTGATGCTGTGCTCCAGTTGGACAAAGCCCTTTGGCAGTGTCCTACTCCTTGGGGCCCGTATCAGCCCTGAGTGGTGGCCGCACAGTCTCAAGTTGGTAGGCAAGGAAATAAGTCACAGAGATGCTAAGGGTACTGCCCAAAGCCTCTGGGACAGAGCTGGACTCAAACCCAGGCCTTGGGTTCTAAATCCAGGGCTGTCTGCACCACGCCGTGCACCAGCTGTCTGTCCATTCAGGGCTGTGCTGCCATCAGATGCCACTGCGGATCCTTCCAGACCCAGAGATGGAAAGACCACATTTCTCTCTAGTCATTGCAGCCATTTTTAAGTCAGGGGTGTATTTTTTCTTGATCCACCAGGGTTTTCAGATAGAGTCTGGGTCCTGAGCACTTCATGGGGAGGTGAACTGGGGCACCTGGAGGCCTCAGGCAGGTCCTAGGGCCAGAGGATGCTAGGGCCCATTTCCAGGCTGAGTGGTGGGCCATCTTGGGGCTGCAGAGCACCCCTCACAAGCCTCTTCTGCAGTTCGAAGGCTGCAGCAAGGCCTTCTCACGGTTGGAGAACCTCAAGATCCACCTGCGGAGCCACACGGGCGAGAAACCGTACCTGTGCCAGCACCCAGGCTGTCAGAAGGCCTTCAGCAACTCCAGCGACCGTGCCAAGCACCAGCGCACCCACCTTGACACGGTAGGCTGGGGGCAGAGGCCGAGGTGGGAAGGGGTGGGGGCGCTGTGCACTACACCCTCTTGTCCAATGCATGGTACAGCCAAGGTCCATGCAGAAACCCCACCTTTGTCCTTGAGTCCTATTGACATTTGGGACAGGGTGATTGTTTGTGGGGAGAGAGCAGTCTTATCACTATAGGATGTTTAGGGTATTGCTGGCCGACATCCACTAGACAGTAGATAGTGATTTCCCAGCTCCCAGTTGTGACAACCCAAAATGTCTCCCAACAATGCTAAATGTGCTGAGGAAGAGGTCATACACTGTCCTCCAGGTGGGAACCACTGCCTTAGCCCATGGGTACTGGCCCGGGTACCAGCATCCTTGCATAGCCCCATGGAGTGAGTGGGCTCACCATCCTGCGTCCCCTCCCCAGGCCTGTCAGCCATCCCAGGAGCAGGCCCTCCCTATTCCTCCCATCCCATCCCCTCCCTGGAGACAGGCCAGAGGCTCTCCAGAGCCATTCTTTATTCCCCGGGCATAGTGGGTAAGGGGCTGAGGCAAGCAGGGTGAGACTCCAAGCCCCTGGAAGAATGCCCTGCAGCCAGAGGCCTGGGTGTCCATCTGAGGGCCTGAGATGACCCTGCAGGCTCACCCTGGGCCTGCCCTGCCCTAGCCCTTGGAGCTCTGGTCACACACCCAGTGGGGGCCAGAGGCCTGTTGCTTTGGGGCTGGGTCCAGGAAATATAGTGAGGAGCAAGGGAGGGAGGGAGGGAGGGAGCAGCTAAGTCAGGGTAGGTGACCCGGAGAGGCCTGGAGGAACATTGCCCGGCCTGGGGTGGGGGGCAGTGTGTGGAGAGGCCTTGGTCACACACCCAGTGGGGGCCAGAGGCCTGTTGCTTTGGGGCTGGGTCCAGGAAATATAGTGAGGAGCAAGGGAGGGAGGGAGGGAGGGAGCAGCTAAGTCAGGGTAGGTGACCCGGAGAGGCCTGGAGGAACATTGCCCGGCCTGGGGTGGGGGGCAGTGTGTGGAGAGGCCTAGTGCTGTGGTGCTGCCTCATGGCCTCTGGCAGATGTACCCACGGTGCTGGGGCACAGACGGCTCCTCTCAGGGCTTGCACTGGTTGCCAAGGGCCCCAAGGGCTGGGCGTGTGAGCAGGTAATGAGGGCAGGGCATTGGTTAGAGTGCCTCCTCACCCATGTCCCCAAGGCAGCCTGTGACAGTGATGTGAAGCCTGAGGGGATGGGTGGGGGAGGGCTTGGGTACAGATTCATGCTGGGGCCAGAGCTCTGCCTACCCTTATCCCAGCTCCACCTCTCCAGGGTGGCCGACACACCTGCTTCTCTGGCCTTGGAATCAGACAGACCTGGGTCTGGTTTTCCCAGGTATAAAATAAAGGGTTTGGACCAGAGTGTCTCCAGCTCTGACTTTGGCTGTGTCATGGCCTCCAACTTACCCTGGTCAGCCGCCCCTCTTCAGACTCTGTATCCTCATCTATGTATCTGTACTGCACAGGCTGGGCTGGACAGCTACTCAGGTCTCCCAGCCTGCCCCCCGCCACCCACCAGAAGAGTTCCCCAAATATTTGCACAAAGAACAAAGATGTAGGCTGGGGGCCCAGGCATGGACCCTGGCTGCAGACCATTTCCTGCTGCAGGTGGGGCCTGTGGTCCTCCTAGGCCGCATGCACCGCCTCCCACAGGCCCTATGAGGCCCCCTTCTGGCTGAGCAGGCACTGAACTTCCTAGGGACCCTCTTTCCTCTTTCCCCATCTTCAAATGGGTTATTGACCCCCTGTCTGGGTCAGGATCAGAGTATGGGAGGTGATGTTAATTGCCAAGATCTCTGTGCACAAGAGAGAATGCTTGGACTTTATCATACTGTCTGGCACAAACAAGGGAAACACTCTCCTTCAGTTTGATTTTGGTGACAACTGCAAGGTAGGGACCATTATCTCCGTTTTGCAGACAGACTCAGAAAAGTTAAGTCACAGCTGGTAAGTGGCAGAGCCGGGATGCAAACCCAGGTCTGTCTGATTCCAAGGCCAGAGAAGCAGGTGTGTCGGCCACCCTGGAGAGGTGGAGCTGGGATAAGGGTAGGCAGAGCTCTGGCCCTAGCATGAATCTGAACCCAAGCCCTCCCCCACCCATCCTCTCAGGCTTCACATCACTGTCACAGGCTGCCTTGGGGACATGGGTGAGGAGGCACTCTAACCAATGCCCTGCCCTCATTACCTGCTCACATGCCCAGCCCTTGGGGCCAGTGCAAGCCCTGAGAGGAGCCATCTGTGCCCCCAGCACCGTGGGTACGTCTGCCAGAGGCCATGAGGCAGCACCACAGCACCAGGCCTCTCCACACACTGCCCCCCACCCCAGGCCAGGCAATGTTCCTCCAGGCCGGGTCACCTACCCTGACTTAGCCGCTCCCTCCCTCCCTCCCTCCCTTGCTCCTCACTATATTTCCTGGACCCAGCCCCAAAGCAACAGGCCTCTGGCCCCCACTGGGTGTGTGACCAGAGCTCCAAGGGCTAGGGCAGGGCAGGCCCAGGGTGAGCCTGCAGGGTCATCTCAGGCCTCATCTCCCCAGAAGGTCTCGTGAAGCCCAGGAGGTGCAGCTGCCCAGCCCAGCCCTGACTTCTCCCATCCCCATGTGAACACTGCAGGCGGCTCACCCCTTGCTCAGAGGCCCAGCAGGTCAGCCCCATGCAGGCTAGGGCCTTTTTTCCAGAGGGGACCCAGTCACATCCCCAGCCCCCCTCTGGCACCAGAGAATGTGGGATTCTCTCCATGGGCAGGAAAGTGGTAGAACAGACTGGAAAGAACCAGCCCCAGAGGTCTGAGGAGCTCCACCTATTGTCTGTGGGCCTCAGTTTCCTCAAACACCTACCTTGAGAGAAAGATCAGGCTATCAAGTGAGGTGGCAGGTGTATAGGCCTGACACATGGTCTGCACAGCTAATGTGATTCCCTCCTTTCCCATCCGGTGACTTGCTGACTGAATGCTGACCAAATCCTACCAGGTCCCAGGCACTCAGTGTGGGGTTCAAGTCCTGACTACCACGGACACCCCCCGTGTCCGTGGAATAAAGGAATAAAGCCACTGTCCTGCTCTGGCCTCGGTTTCCCCATCAGCAAGATGGGGGTAATAATCTCTCCTTTGCCTGCTTTACTGGACCATTTGGGGCTGCAAGAGAGGGAGCATTCTAGCAGAGTGTCATGGGCACACGCTTACTACAGGATCTTGGGCAGAGCACCAGCCTCAGTGTCCTCATCTGCAAAGTAGGGATGCTTCTCACAGCATGGATGTGAGACAGAATGGAGACAGTGGTGCTCAGCACAGTCCCTGCAGGGGCAAGCACTCAGTAGGTGCACAGCTGTTCTGAGCGCAGATTTGGAGGGCTTTGTGAGCCATGGTGCTCTGTCCTCACAGCACGACTGAGTGTCCTTGGTACGGAGGCTTTGGAGCCTAGGCAGTGACTCCAGGCCGGGGGCTTGGCTGCTGCTTGGGGTGGCCACAGGGCTTCCTGAGGGTTCACAGGGGAGCTGGGCTGGAGGAATGTTCTGCACACGTCAAGCCCTGGAAAAACAAACACGGAGATGGGCCTTGTGCCCTCTTTCCAGGCAAGTGTGCCTGCACACACAGAGTTCTGTTTGTTTGCTTTTTGACAAAAGCATGTGGATTTGTATCAGTGTCCCCAAGGGACAGGGCCTGGGGCAGGGCAGGGCATGGCCCAAGTGTGAGAGAAAATGTGTGTTGGCATTCATATGTGTGTCTGTGCACGTGCTGGGGTGGGGGTCAGGCCCGTAAGAGAGGGGCTGTGTGTGCATGCGTGTGTGTGTGTCTGTGTGCATGTGTCTGTGCGTGTGTTGGGGTGGGCGTCAGGCCCATGAGACAGGCCTGGTGTGATCTGCGTCTCTGTGCACTTGGGTGGGGACAGGTCTGAGATGGGCTGCCCGCCCTCGCGCCCAGTGCTGTCCTTTCCTCTGGGCAAGCCTCTCACTGCTCTCTCTCTCTTTTTGCTCTCCTCCGTTTCTTTAACCTGGCAACTCTCCATGGCAGCACCAAGGTATGGTTCTCTCTTTCTGCTTCCTCCTGCCCACAAGGTCCCTGGGTCTGAGATCAGAGAGGCCTCACCTCGGTCCAGCTGAGGCAGAGTCAGTGAGGTCTGGGGCAATTGCATGTGGATGTGTCTGACAGGGACACAGCTCTCCCCTGGCACTTAATCCAAGGTGTTGTCTCCTCCAAATGTCCTCCCGTCTGCTGCAGTCACCGGAGGCCTGAGGTCTCTGAGAAATCAGAACCACCAGATGTGTTCCATCAGGGGAGCCGGAGGGATTTCGGGCCCCAGTAGAGCTGGAGCCCCCAAGCAGGGTCTGTGGTGGCCCCTATGGGAGAGCTCAGAATTCAGTTAGAGCCATGGACACCTGCCCTGGGTCAGTCCCTGGGGCCTGAGATGAATCAGAAGGGACCCTCCCCTGAGTAAAACTCACCACCCGGTGGAGAAAGAAGGACACTGGGCAGAGCCAGCAGCACAGGCAGATGTTGCTGCCAGCGGGGAGCTGAGGATCTAGAGGAGGGAAGATTCAAGGAGGGTTTGGGGAAGAGGTGATAAGGGCTGGGCAGATGAGTGTGCGAGGGCAGAGGCAGGGGCGGGAGGAGGGGTGAGAATATAAGCGGGGCCCCAGTCCCAGAGGGCCTTCAGTGCCTGGAGATGGGCTGTATCTGAGGGCACCAGGGAGCCAGGGAGGGGTTTTAGAAGGTGAGAGCATGGCCAAATCTGTTAGGAAGGCCCTCTGACTGTGGTGTGAGGGGAGATCGGAGGTGCAGAGAGCAGGGTGGAGCTGGTCAGGACCCAGGGTGGGTGGGCATGGATCTGTTCTAGATGAGCAATGGGGCCCCCAGGAAAAGGGATACTAAAGACTCAGATCCCCAGCTTCCCCAGGCCTGTGTCTGAGATCCAGCTTCCTCTGGCTCCCCATGATTGTTGGGACAAGGACCTGGGTCTCGTGCACAGAGAACAGTCTGGTGACACTGGACCTGCTGCAAGGTGTGGTCAGTCTCTCCCAGCCTGGGCCCTACCGCATTCCCATGTGACCCCATATCTGTGCCCTGCATGCCCCATGCTGTCCCCGTCTTCCCCTCACCCCCTCCTCTCTAAGGCAGCCACCTCACTTCGCTCCTTGTCCACTCACTGCTTCTCTGCCGTGGTGGATTACAAGGCTGTGCTTTTCTCAGAGCGAGTGTCAGAGCTGGAAGAAACCTTGGGACTCAGTTGTTCCCATTTTGCAGAGGAGAAAAGTAAGACTCAGAGACGAGCGGTGACTTACCTGAGGTCCCAAGTATGAGGGTAGAGACACAAACCGCCTTTGTCAGTATCAGGCCAGGCACAGCCTTGGGAAGGCCTGGCCAGGTCAGACTCCTCCTGGCCAGGGAAACTGAAGGGGGACAGGGTGTGAGCCTGCAGCCTGTCCCCAGCCCAGCTGTCCTCCCCATTGCAGGTCACATGGTGGGACCTCAGGCCTGGCAAGTGGCCCCTCACTCACCCATCCCTGCCCCTCCTATGTTACAGAAGCCATATGCCTGTCAGATCCCTGGCTGCTCCAAGCGCTACACGGATCCCAGCTCCCTCCGCAAGCACGTGAAGGCCCATTCAGCCAAAGAGCAGCAGGTGCGTAAGAAGGTAAGATGCTCTCCATTCTGGGCCCAGCCTCCCAGCCACTTGTCCAGCATCAGGCCAGGCACCTGCATGCTTCCAGACACCCAAGGGTGCTACTGTCTGTGATCTGCCACCTGCCTCCAGCCCACCCCTAAGTGTCCTCTGTCCCCCCACCAAGCCAGTGGGATGTTCACACACCCACAGACCATCCCCCAGTCACACCCCCATCCATCTGCCCACTCACCATGCCTTGCTCAATAAACATTTGTTGTCAGGCTCTGTGTAGGCAACAAGGATACAAAAATGGGAACCATGGTCTCCTCCTTCAGTGGGGACCTGGTGGGCGAGAGACAGACATAAAGAGATAATTCAGCATCATATAATAAGGACTGCAATAGAGGTGTGCAGAGAGTAATTAGGGGCACAGAGAAAGGGGCCCTAGCCCATCAGAGTGGGAACAGGAGGGTCGATAGAAGAAATGACGCCAGGGGCAGTAGAGCTCAGGTGTGTCAGCTCCGAAGCCAGCTCACCAGGCTCAACACTGCCGGCCCCGTGGCCTTGGGCACGTTTCTCTGCACCTGTGTTTCAGCTGTCAGATGGGGGCAATAGAGGGCTTGCTGTAAAGGTAGTCGTGCAGATTAAATGAGTAAATACATGTTAATGGTTTAGAACAGTACTAAGCCCAGAGTAAATCAGAACAGAAGCTGATGCATGCCGTCATTAAGTCTTGAAGGAACCTTGGGTGGGTAACGACAGTAAAAAGAGTGTACCCCAGAAAGGGACTGAAGCTGGAAGCCCCATCTGTCTTGAGACTGAGCAGGGAGGCAAGGAGAGGCCACCCAGCAGGCTGGACACGGAGGCCCAAAGCTCTGCCGAGGACTTGGGGTGTCCCAAAGATAGTGGGTGCCACTGAGGGGCCTTAAGTAGAGAAGGGACATGTCACCATGAAAAATGGGCTGGGGGTGGCTGGAGGGTAGTCAGAGTCAGGGAGGCCGCTGCTGGGGACATGGAGAGATGGTGGGGGCTGAGCAGGAGGGAGGAGGGGCTGGGTTCAGCCATCGCTGGGCTGGCAGGGGAGCGACAGAAGGAGCCACTTGAGACTTGAGGGGCAGGACAGACGGTGGGCCCCTTTGCCAGGACAGAGACTCTGAGAAAGAAGCAGTTTTGCCTAGACAGCTGTGGATAAAATGAAGGTTCCTGTGGCCAGGATTCTCACCTGGCCCTGGTTGGCTAGCTTACTGCACACGTGTGAGCAATACATTGTTATTGATCCTATATAAAGAGCCCTTCCCAGTGCTCTGGGCAACACAGTGGCATGGCTGTAGGAGAGCAGAGAAGAAGGCTGGAGTGGTGGCAGCATCAAGGGCAGAGGCCCAGAGGCAGAGACTGGCTTGCTGCAGGCAGACTTGCTCTGAGTGAATGAGATTTTAGTGATTGACCTGCCACCATGGAAATAAAGTTGGATATAACTCTTTCAGCCCAGGAACATTCTACTGTCATTTCTTTGGTCACATTGCATCCATAGTGAACTTGCCCGGGGCTGAAACCCACTGGCAAGACAACAGCAGTGTTTTGGACAAGGAGCGTGTGAGCCATGGACAGACAGAGCAGCAACTCGGGCAGAGCCCACCTGGCTGGGTTTAACCCACATCTCGAGGAGCACTGGGGACACAGGGGTGAGGGTACTTAAGTACCAGGGAGCATTTGTGGGGGAAGAGAAATAGCAGGGGCCAATCCAGGGACATCAGTACAGCAGAGGGGGAAGAGTCCATTAATTTGTTCAGCAAAATTTATGGAGCATCTACTGTTTTCTAAGTACAGTTCTAAAAGGTATGGATGCAGCAGTGAATAAAGTGGAAGGAGGCCTCGAGGCTGGTGAAAGCCCACTGCTCTGAGTTCCACAGGCTGGGAGCATATGCGATGAGGTGCTGGCAGCAAGTGGGTCTCAGTGGGAAAAGGAGTGGGGAGGGACTGCCAGGCTCGAGACTTATCTTCATCCTGCAGCTGCAGGCAGCAGGGAGCCACTGCAAGCATTAGAGCTGAGAAGGGACATGGTCTGAGCGTGCGCCAGGAGCTCACATGAAAACACCATGTCTGTATTCACCCTGAGAAGGGAGGGTGACCCTTAGCCCAGCCCTGAGCCTGCTGCTTCACAGACTGACCCTTACTTAGTCCTCACTATAACCCTACAAAGTGGGCATTTCCCCCCCAGTTTAGAGATGTGTAAACTAAGGCTCAGAGAGTTAACAAATCTGCCCAGAATTGTGTAGTGTGGGAGTGACACAGCCAGGTCCCATTTCTGACTTATCTGTCTCCAGGCCCTAAAAAGGAAACTCCACTGCTGCTATCAGGTGGAGGGGCCTGAGAGGGGACCGGGAATGGCCCAGGCTCCATGCCAGGGAGGCTTCTGTCCCAAGTGTACTGGTGCCTGAGGACGAGAATCGTGCCCTGGTTTTCCCAGGCTCCGTGCCTGGCTCACAGTGAGCCCCAGGGACCTGGGGCTGCAGATCTGCAAACCTCCCATCAATAAGCATCCATTAAGAGCCATCGGGGATGATGTATCTTTCTGGGTAAAGCAACCCTTGTATTATGACAGCTCCTTGGCAGCCTTGCTGCGTTTTAGAGAGAATTAGAAATGCTTTTCTTCCTTAATTCTCCTCTCCTGCTGCTCCTAATCCCATCGACATTGCGGTCTGCAAGAACATGCCTTGGCCTTCTTTTGCCAGAAACTTAATTTACATGGAAAACAGCTGTTAGGTCAGGGAACTGAGAGCCCATTGGGAAGGCTGGGCATGCCTTCCCCAAACATGGGTGCTAGCCCATCTGGTCTAGGGGAGTGGAAAAACCCTTGGGGCTGATTCTCAGCTGCTGTGTGACATGGGATAAGGCTCTTGCCTTCTCTGGATGGTTTTGTCCTGGGTAAAATGAGGGTCTGCACAAATCAGACTTCAGGGCTCTGATGGTCAGGCTATGGGGTTTCTCTGTAGAAGGGGGCCCTTGCCAACCACGTACATACCCCCTTCATCATCCAGTGTCCTCAAGGCCTCAAGCCACCCTGTCCTCATCTGGCCCCATGTGGAAAGGTAAAGATGTTCTGAGGTGTTGAGCTTAAGTCTGTCTTTAGGGACAGCTGAGGTTGCTGGCCAAAGATTTACCATCCCAGCCTTGCTCATAACCAATGACCTCAAGGCCATTAATATATCCAGCATGCCCACTGCCATGTGACCGTGTGGGATTCAGACTCGTGGAGCCAGCCCACTCTTCACTCAGCATAGTACCCATCATCTCATTACCCCTCACCACAGCCTGGGCTGAGGGCTGTTACTCTTCCTTGTTACAGTCAGGGGAGGAGAAGAGGTTATTTGTCCAGTGTCACACAGGGATTAAGAAAAGATGGGGTGGGATTTGAACCCAGGTCTTCTGTTCCGAGCCCTAAACTGTGTCTGCTGCACCTTGTGCCAGGAAGGAAGAAAGAGAGGAGGAGGGGTGGGAAGAGGGAAAGACACTCACTGCAGGTATCTACTGCATTTTACTCGCACCACGTCAGTTCACCTCTGTGGCAGCTGCAAGAATGTGCCGCACAGACCCCCAGCTGCCTGCAGGAGGCATGGCCGCTGCACTTTGACAGCCATCTCAGGGTTTGTGCTGTGGCCATGCCTCCTGCACGCTGCTCCCAGCCAGTGAGTGAGTGGGGCAGGCCCTACAGGGATCCCGGGGCAAGAGCCCTTCCTAGGAGACACAGGACCCCCTGACTTCCAGCAGACCTCAGCTCCCTGGACCTTCAGTCTAGGAAGCTCCCACCAACTTCCTTTTCCTCCCTCCTTCCCTCCGGGTCAGACAGGTAACATGGCCCGACAGCAAACCCAGCCTGCCCAGCTCTCTCCCTGCTTTCTCCCCTGCAGGCACTTCCTCTATCAAATACTTGCATGTTCCCTCTCAGCATCTGCTTCTCTGACCTGGCCTAACACAACCTTCACAGTGTACACAGTTAGCTCCACTTTACAGATGAGGAAACTGAGGCACAGTGAGGTGAAAAGTCTTGCCATGGGGCCACTGTCCTTCCTGCCCTGTCCCCTAAAGGAGGGTTCCAGTGGGCGGGTGGTCTCCCACTAACACCCTCTCTCCCTCTGCTTGCTCCTCAGCTGCACGCAGGCCCTGACATTGAGGCCGATGTCCTGACCGAGTGTCTGGCCCTGCAGCAGCTCCGTGGGTCCACACAGCTGGCTGCCAGCGACGGGAAGGGTGGCCACGCCCGGGGCCAGGAGCTGCTCCCAGGTATGCATGCGGGGAGGCAGGGCCAGACACAGCCTGGGAAGGCCCTTTTGTTGCCACCTGGCCCCACAGGAAAACAGTGATGCTCTGTGAGCCACCGGGGGCCCCATAGGCACGACTTGTTGAAGGGTACCCACTCCTCCAGGCTTAATTGCCTCTGCAGTTTATCCTTCTAAGTGTGCTTACCTGTAGTGTTCTCCAGGGCTCCCCACTGGCCGCAGGATGAAGCCCAGGTGCCTCTCAGCCTGGCCTTGGAGGCCTTGCAGAGCATAGGCACTGCCAGTGGCATCCTGCCCCAAACTTGGCACATTGGACACAGTCCCCTGAGCGCTGTGTGCTCTCTCCTGCCTCTGAGCCCCTGTACACACCTAGCCAACCTCCTCACCCTCCCCTTTACTCAGGCAGCTCCTGAACTTTCTTCATGACCTTACTCAGGGTCCTTCAAGTCCCATGGACTCCCCACCAGAACTCCTCACCACAAGTCCTTGCTTCAGAGGAGACCAAGGCTCTGAGAGGGTGGGCAACTTGGCCATAGTCACTTCCAGCTTATCACTAAACTCAGTGGCCCAGAGATGGGGCCTCCCAAGCCCCTGGAGCCCTGTAGGCCCATCCAACTAGACACAGAGCCTCTGGTCCAGCCAAGGCAGCCTGTCTGTCCCTCCTGGCAGCCGCAGGCCACTGGGCAGGTCTCAGGCCCAGGCAGGAATTCCTGGCTGCGTGACTTGGGAATCCAGCCCAGACAATGGCAGTGTGGCCTGCGGAGTGCAGCTGACCATATTTGTGCTCTACCCTCCCCACCCCATGAAGAAACCACAGCATCAGAGCGAAAAACTCCTCCCACCCTCCAGAATTTCTTGAATAACTCCGACCATTTTTAATAGTTTTTATTTTCTAATTTTTCACTCCTTCCCCTCAGCATTAAAGTAGCAGATTTAAAACCATGTCAAAGATTTACCAAACAGCCTCAGGAAGAGAAGATGTTTGCCCTTCTCTGGTCACCCTTCTCAGGGCTCTGTGCTCAGGCAGGTCCTCAAGGGCAAGGACAGCCCAGGAACATGCGTCCGTGGATGAGGGATCACCCTCCCTCCAGCCAGGCGTCCCTCTGCCATGGGCTGCTTCTCACAGGGTCAGAGTTGCTAAAACAGGGCATGAAGGGCCCCTAGGGATGACCCGGCCCAGGGATGATGGCTTGCCTCCCAAGTGCCAGCTCTCTACAGCTGGTAATGACTGCTTGGATTCTGAGTCTCAGCAGGACATAGGGCTGTGACTGATTCACAGTGGCTGCCCGGAGCAGAGGTCCTGAACCCCATCATTTGTAACCTGGAAGGACTCAGGCCTGGGCAGGAGAAGGACTGACCCCCAAGGTCATGCAGGGAAGTCAGCAGCAGACCCAGGGTGGAAGCCTGTTCTCCCAATACCAGCCTAGGGAGAAGGGCCAGGCCCCTAGCAATCATCCCTTGAGCACCTGCTTGGGCTGGTCACTTTACAAATATCACCTCATTCAATCCCCCGTGAGCCCATGCTACAGCTGAGGAACAGAGTCACCTAGGTATCAACATGGGTCAGAGGGCCACTGGAGTAATAGCAGACCTGCCCAGGCTGCTCTGACAGTGAGTGGTATCTTCCTTGCCTTAAGCCTCAGTTTCCCCCCAGACCGGCTGTGACAGCAAGGTGATTGTGGATGTGATCACTTGTATAAACCCAACATGAATGATAATTTTATCATTATTATTATTGTTGCTCATAATGAATGAGAAGAGTACCTATTTACTCATCCTTCTCATAATAATGGAACAGCCAACATTTGTTGAATATGTGCCAGCACCATTCTTGGAACTGTACACATATGTGTTAATTAATCCTCCCGTCAGCCTCGTAAAGTGCATGTTATTGTGCTCTTTCTTTTCCAGTTGAGGAAACTGAGGCCTTGAGAGGCTAAGAAACTTTTTGCAAAGGTTTCACAACCAGTAAACGTCAGAGGCCAGATCTGAACCCTGGCCACCTGGCTGCAGCCATGCCGCTAACCAAATAGTCTGCTGTTAATGCTACACCTTGCCATACTGAGCACCTGCTGTATGCCAGGCCCTGTGCTGGTCTCTGTCCTTGAGATGCTTCCAGCACAGCAAGGAAGGACCAGCCAGGCAGACCCAGGAGGCCTGGATCCCCCTGGGCTCCAGCTGCCAGGTTCTGCAGGCCACACAGCAAATGCCTGAGGCACATTTGGGAACAGATGTGGGGGCCAATGGCTAAGCACTCAGAGCTGGTGACTGGCGATGCTGATTTGCAGCCTGCAGTGGTGTGCCTTGGGGAGAGTCGAGGCAGGCCCCACACATCACCACTCCCGCTGCTCCTCATGGTATGGCATTCCCTCGCTCCCATCGACTGTCTGCTCACATCCTCAACATGCCTAGTTCACGCACTCCGTTGCCCTCCACATGTTTGTCCTCAGGGGGCTGTGTGGCAAGGACCTGGAGCAGGACAGGACAAAGGCAGGGGAAAATGGGGCAGATTCAGGGGGTATACAACAGAAGAGTACAGAATAGAGGGGTGAGGGTGGGGAAGGAGCTGGCGAGGGAGGCATCAAGTTTTCGTTGTCTGACCAGAGGGAACTCCTGCAAGCTTGTCTCTCATCAGGAAGGACCAGCTCTCTTAGTGGAAACCCCGAGGAGCTTCTCTGGCAGGCCTCCTGTAGCAGACCCAGGCTAACATGATGGGCAGTGAGGGCGTGAGAAGCATGAGGTCAGCATGGCTGAGGAAGAGGGAGAGGATTTATCAGGATTCTAGGCCTTCCTGGCTGTCGGGCCCCCAGATTGGTTCCAGATGGCAGGTGGAGAGGCGCTAGGGAGAGTGGTGAGTGGAGCAAGCTGTGAACAGTGCCAAGCCAGGCTCCATCCACAGAAAGCCCCTCTGCTGCTGCCCTCCTGATCAAGCTGGGGAGAGATGTGTGGCCAGGGAGGCAGTAGGTAGATGAATGGGCAGTGCTGGCCATGGGAGCAGAGGTACCTGAGACAAGGAAGGGTGAGGACTGGGGCCAAGAGGCAGAGCGCCCCATTCAGAGCTTCAGAGCCCTGGGGCCTCACAGCCAGTCCGAAGTGAGGGCTAGACTGGCAGCCCCTTCTGGACCTCCAGGCCAGCCTCAGATGGACCCCTAGGCCATTTCCTGGACCTGGCTTTAAATGGGCTTTTGGTGTCACTTGGAAGACCTAATTAGCTACTGATTTTGTGACTCTTGACAATTCACTGAAGTTCTTAAGACTTAGTTTTTCATCTTAAGAAAATGGGATCATGTTATCTTCCCTATTGACAGTCATTGAGGTGGTCAAAATAGCATGGAAAAAGAGCTTGACACATAGTATATTCTTAATTCACAGTAACTGTTGTTAATAATACATATTTATTGTAAAAATAGAACTTCATCTAATTAACCCATCCATAGGATGTCTGGTGCTCTAAATCCAGCCCAGGGGTTTAGTCTCATAGGCCCAGTGTTGAATTTTTCTTTTTTTGCTTTTTTTTAAGTTTCAATGCAAAGGCCTTTAAAGGGCACATTCTCCACACTTTGCCACAGTCCCTACTGCTCCCTATTGTAACTCCTGTAGTTTCACTAATTTTGCTCCCTGCCATGCCACCTAAGCATCGAGTTTGCATTCCCTGCCACAGCCCTGCTCAGTTCCTTGTCGTAGCTCCCTGAATTGCAGGCCTGGGCCATAGGGGCCAGCCTGAGATGGGCTAGCCTTAGAATCCCAAACACCTGAGAAAATCAAAGCTCCTCTTTTACCCCATCCCTGAAAAGAGTGTGGTGTGTGCTCAGATGGTCCTTGTGGGTGATAAAGAGCACTGGGTCTGGATCCGTGATGACCAGAAGGATGTTCCAAGCTGAGCGGGGTGAGCTCTGATCCACCAGCAGATGCTGCTGCCCTGCAGCTTGGTGCGGCCCCCAGGTCCACAGAGGCCTCCTGGGCTGTCAACTTGATGGCCTGATTTCTGGGAAAATAATGTCAACTTCTATTTAAAATTCAAATAAACACAGCTAGATTATAAAGATGGGATACAAAATTGGCCCCATTTTTTCAGATAACATAGGGAATGTCAAAAACTTGTGACCCTTGCTGTGTCCCTTTCAATATCTAGTCCCAGAATAGGGGTTCACTCTCCCCTCTAATTAGGGTTCCTTGGTGAAGCCTTTGGGAAGCACTGGCCTCAATAACTACTCTCAGACACTCCATTGGGCCCCTAGAGCAACATCTGATCCTGACCTAGAGTCAACCATTTGATTCATTAGTGCATTTATTTCATTAACAAAGGTGAGACCCTTGAGAGTAAAAGGTGATAAAAGGTGGTAGCTCCATGCACATGTCTTCTAGAGATTTAGAGTCTGAGACTAGAGCATGGCTGCCTGACTCCTCTCCTCAGTAAGGACCCTTGTGGAGTGTACAGCCTGTGCCACAATCTGTGGTATCCCTTCTCAGAGGCCTCCCAGGCCAGCCTGCCACCTAGCTAGCACAGTCATCCTCTCTGGAACCCCTCACCATGGACATCCAGGCGCTGCTTGGACACCTCTGGGGATGGGCAGTTCATTTTCCCCAAAGGCAGCCCATTGCCCCACAGCAGCTCTGCCTGTGAGTAGGTACAGCCAAGCCCTGAGCTAGAGTCTTCTATTTCAAGCTTCTCTCCATTCCGAGATCTCTGTCTGCTTTTGGGGCTACACAGAGTAGGCCTCTTCTTTCCCAGAACAGTCCTAAGGATTTGAGGCAGCCTCCTCCATGCAACCCCTTGCCCTAACCCCACATGGCCTGACCACCCCATGACTCTGACAGCCTCTTGTCAGTCCACCTCTATCAAGGTAGGCCTCGGCCCCACAGCCAGCCCTTCAGCCAGAGCATGAACAGATGGGCCATCTGTTGGGTGGGGCCATCACCTCCTTCATTTGGGTCCCTAGCCCCCTATTAATACTTGCTAGTCTCCCTTCAGTCTTTCTCCATAAGCAGGCACACAGCTCCTGGGTTGTCCACAGCCACCTCTAAGGAGTGGCCAAAGCCCAGTGACATTTGTTTGCTTTCCTGCAGGCGTGTATCCTGGCTCTGTCACCCCCCATAATGGGCTCTCATCAGACATCCTGTCCCCCATGCACGATGTCCCTTCCAGGCACCACCCACTGGACGCTACCACCAGTTCCCACCACCATCTGTCCCCTCTGCCCACGACTGAGAGCACCAGGGATGGGTATGTACAGCCAGCCAGTCCTTGGGCCGCAAGCGGGTACCTGCATGGGAGGCAAGTGAAGGCAGGCGTCCCTATGCTGAATGGTTGTTCCTGATTACGAAAATAGCCAATGCTTATGTAGCACTTACTGTGTATTGCTCTCTGTACCAAACATTTTCTGTGCCTGATTTCATTGGTGCCTCACAGTAACATACCAGGCACTTGTATCTGGACTTTTTGGCAACTCACCTTGTGTTCCCTCTCCTGTCTGTGGGGGTGGCCCTGGGAAGATGCCGTGCTCCCTCCTCCCCATATTCTGGGCTGCCACACAAAGGCTTCCTTGGGAGCCACAGTCTGGCTTCTCTCTGGTTCGCATTGTGCATTTGGTGAGCAGACTGCCCATTGCCCACTCCTGCCTGGGTCTCCCCTCCATCTCTGACCACTGTAGCTGTGACCATTGCCTGGCCTGCCACTGCTTCCAGGAGCCCTTACTGCAGGATCACTGCAGGGAGCAGTGGCCTCTTCCTATATTCAGTGTGATTCCCATTTTGGTCACATAATCAGCTGGAAATGGTGAATGTGCTAATTGCTAGCCCCTAATGCTGCCAAAATCTGTTTTCCTTACAAACAGGTAGAGGGAGTCCTCACAGCCCCACCACGTGTCTTCCCTGCCACTTTCACTTACTGCCAGCAGGACTTAATCAAAGTCTCCCCCCAAGGCCTTCCTCCTCCCCTACCCTTCCTCCTTGAGGCCACAGCCTTGGCCTTGGATGTGGCCTGCCTGTGCCTGGGGCCAGCTTGTTTCCATCACCAAATCTGTCGTCCATGGCTCCTCACTGGGCTCCTCCTGCTACTTTGTCTTCCATTCATCTGATGTCCAGTTACTGAGCCCCTTACATGAGCAGGCCCCAGCCCTGGAGAAGCTCGCCATGGGAGAGGAGAGGACAGACTTGCAGGGACTGACCACATGGGGCACAGCTCCGAGGGAAGGAAGCCAAGGGGCCGCAGAAGCCTGGAGGAGACCCCCGTGTGGGGGTGGGGGTGCCAGGGAGGCCTGCCTGGAGGCGATGCAGGAGTTGGCTTAGTGGAGAGGCTGGGAGGAAGGAGCAGCGAGGGTATGGGCTGGCGTAGTGGGAGCTTGGGGTGTCCTAGGAGGCACGAGCCCTCGTGTGGGGTGACAGGCTCAGGACAGAGGTAACGGGAGCCGGATCACGAGACCGCGGCGACTCTATCTGAAGGGTGCTGAGCACGGTATTATGGTTGGGTTTACGACTGGGTTGCCAGGGGCAGCACCGCATGTGGGGGATGGAGGCCTGAGCCAGGTGGGGAGGACACCTGAGGGTGTATCTGTGAGCGACATAGAGTAAGCAGTGCTGGGGCCACTCCGGCTGGGCAGGGCTGGGAGGGGCCATAAGCAGGGAGCCCCTGGGTAGGCAGAAGTGCCGTCTGTGCAGCAGGGAATGACCATGGTTGGGAGTGGTGGAGAGACATGAAGAGGCAGCCTGGTGGAGTGTGAAGGGTGACCCAGAAAACCAAGCCCTCCCAGAGCCTCCATTTACTCCTGTATAAAATGGGCATTAAAGTAGCCTCCCCTAGGAAGGTAGTGAGGATCAGCTGTACATGCCTATCATCATTTGTCACCAGGTACAAGTTCCATGGACCCCAGCCTCCTGTCCCCCACCTACCCACCCACTGGCTCAGGCTACCTGCTACCCACCAGCCAGCCCAAAAACATCTCCAACTGAAGAAAAATAAACCACAGAGACCTTTCCCCACGAAAGCCCATGTACTCTACTCCTCCTCATTCATCACCTGCCTGCCGCCCGCGTAAGTGCCCGTCAAGAATTCCTGCAGTGAGAGGCAGTGATGACAAGCCTGAGACGGGCCACCGGCCTGCGTGCCCACCCAGGCCTGTGAGGGCTGGAGTTGCCCTACCCAGGGAGGCCTCCAGGTTCCTCCAGGTGGCTGCAGAGGGATGGACCCTCACGCCTGACACCATGCCCAGGCTGGCTTGAACGGGTTTCTTTTTTCAGCCCCTGTGAAGTGTGTTGGGGCAGGGAGGCCTTCAGCCTCCCCTTCCTGCCAAAATCAACAGAGAAGGCCACTCTCAGCTCCCCAGTGGTTTTCTGGGACGTTTAGATAGCTTGACAGAATTATCTGATTGACCCAAAAATATGCTAAGAGGGCCTGACTTCATGACCAAAATTATTTACCCTGGCTCAGAGAAGATGCCAAATAGGGTGGAGTTTTTTTCCCGGGCCCTGTACAAAGTATGAAGTCCTCAGTCTGCCAGGCTGATGAGGTTTTATGTTAATTTTTATAGGTTCCAATTGAAGCAAAAATATTTGATTTAGGAATAATTTGCATGACTCAGAAGAGGAGCGCCAGATGATCTTTTTTCCTTTTAAAGAATTCAGGTAGAGCAGCATAACCTCAGCCTTCATGTCTGCTGCAGAGAGTCATGTTCTGTTTAATTTCACTGGCTGTGAAGGTGGCAAATGGGAGCTTATGGCAGGTTTGAGACAGGAGAAACAAACTTTGAAAATGCACGCTCTTCCCCTTCTGGTCTGCTTCTCCTTAACTCTGCAATGCTGTTAATCTCTGAGCTTTGTAGCTGAGCAATTCAGAAACCCATTGGTTAGCGTTTCTCAGCAGTTTGCTGGGTACCAGGCCCAGTGCTGAGCACCAAGTGACAGAGGTCTGAGGTCCGGCCGCCCTGCAGGAGCTCCCAGGGGAGGGGACTAACAGAAACTCGGGGAAGAGCAGGGTATGGGTGCCAGAGCGGGGTGGGCACCACACAGCAGGCCCGAAAGAGGAGACCCCACCGTAACAGCCACGCCTCGGCCCTGCTGTGGCCGGGAGAGCTGGTTATGAGGACAGCTTGTGCACAGACCCCCTCCAGGTTATAGAGCACAGTGGGGGTCCCTGTCCCACTTGACAGCCCTGTAAGATAGGCCTAAACAGATTAGTGATGATGATGATGATAATTCATGGAGCCTTTTTGAGGATTCAGTTCATTAACTTAAGGAGGCTGACATGTGCCTGCAGTGGGTTAGATGCTGGGCCAAGGACCAGGGACCCAGCCTGGACGCCCCCCTTCTGCTGCCTTCATCCCACTCCCAGTGATGGGGGTCCCAGACATGTGAGTGATGACAGTGCAGTGGAGTGGCAGTGACAGCAGGACACCAGGCTGGAGGGAGCAGATGCGGAACCTGGCAGAGTTGCAGACAAGGAGTCCCCCCAACCTCTCTCCAACTCTCCTTTCCCCTTTCAAGATAGTCCTGCTTCGCTCAGAGAGAGGCACTGACCCGCCCATTAATAATAGCAAAGGTCTTGAAGGGAGGACAGCGGGTGTCTAGCCTGACAAGGTTGTCTTTAAATTTGCCATGTGTTTTAACGTGGATGGTCCAAGTCTACAGATGCAGACAAGAAAATGGAGACTGAGCTCTTGCTCTCTCCCTCTTTCTGCAATACACATACGCCCTATGGCTGGTGTCTTTAGCCTGGTCCCAAGACAGTCTATATCCACTGACCCAGGGTCATCTGGGTTCCTGTGAACAGACTCCAGAGGATTAGGAGGGCAGCATGAGAGAGGAAGCTGGCCCACAGTGGTGTGCAGTCCGGAGGGTCTGCCTGGGCTCAGCTGGGCTTGGGGTAACTCTACACCTCTTAGCTACTGCAGTCATGTTTCAGAACATGAACTGTCAGAGAGCCCGGGCATAGGCCTGCATCCCCTCAGGCTCTGTTTAAGGAAGAGTCGTGAGTCCCCCCATCCCAAGGTCTATGCAAGTGGAGGAAAAATGGCCAGAGATGGAGACAAAAGATTCTAAAAGTACACTGTGCAGGGGAATAGAGGCCAGCTTGGGCATCAGAACCTGCTAGCTGTCCTTCCCTTCATCTTCATAATAATGACAATGTTCATGGAGTGGCTAAGAATGTATCTGACACTATACTAGGTGCTTTGTCTACACTGCCGTATTAAATTTTACCCTCACCATAACCCACGATGTCAGTGCTTTGTGGCTGGGAGTAACTTGGGCAACCTCTCTGAACCTTGGTTTTCTGACCTGTGAGAAGGACACAAGTACATCTCTCACAGGACCTGGGAGAGGCAGAGGCTCAGTGAATGGTGACATGGATGTTCTGCCGCTAAGGAACTGCCACAGCTTCCGGGGCAGCTGCCCGGGCTCTTCCTGCAGGTGGCCTGCGCTGTGTGCACAGTTAGAGTGTCAGGCTCCAGCAGGAGCAGCTGGTATTTAGCCCTGGGTAACAAGAGCTACAGTGTGCCAGGTGGAGAACACAGCTACCCTGCGAGGAAACCAAGGCTCAGAGACATGAAGCGTCTTGTCCAAACTCACATGGCCTGTGAACAGATGGTGTTTTAAATACACTTCTATTGACTTCAGAGGTCATGCTTATAACCAGTGTTCCTTACTGACTAACAATCCTAAATACCATACAGAAGTTTTTCTTTACTGATTCTTTTGGACTCTATGGCTTACAGGATTTTTAAATTTAATTCCGGTTTGAACATCATCAGAAACGAAAGCTTCCTCTTCTAACTGCATGATCATAAGTTAGAGGCGGTCAGCTAGTGAGCTCACCATTACTGGAGGGCAGCAAGCAGTGGCAGCCATGTCTCTGGCTCCCCAGGCTGCCTGAGCCTGTCTGCTAATGGCTGTGTCTGTTCTCTCCAGGTTGGGACCCGGCCTACTCTCACCTATGGTGAGCCCCCTGAAGGGGCTCGGGCCACCACCCCTGCCATCATCCTCCCGCAGCCATTCTCCTGGGGGCCAGCCCTTCCCCACTGTCCCCAGCAAGCCCCCCTACCCGCCCTTCCAGATCCCTCCACCCCCGCCTCTGCCTAGCCCACAAGGTAAGCTCTGGCCGGAGGACCTCTCCATGTACACCCACTCAGGCTGGGGGTGCCTGAGGGGCATGAGACACCTACCTGAGAGAGGCAGGCAGGTACTCAGAATGAGGGCAGAAGCCATGAGCTATGTGTCCCAACATGCTAAGTTGGGGGCTGGGGCACTTCCTCGAAGGAGTTTGCTCTGAGGGGTGAGGAAGAGTTTGCTTCATTGACAAGGTGTCAGAGGGCTCTCCCAGCATCAGCCTGCCTTGGGGAGGAATGGGAAGCAATCGGGCATCTCAGAGGGTCAGGGGGTGGAGAGCCAGCAGCCCCCTCCCTCAGAGCACCAGAGTCAGCCACCAAAGACTCAAGTCAGGTGAAGTCACATGAGGACCCCTCACCCAGTCCCCTCCAATGCAGGACAGAGCTGGGAAGAGGGCCCAGGACCTGCAGTACCTTCTCCACCCTGGGACTCTCTCCTCGTCCATGCCTGGACAGGACAATATGGGGGGCTGAGCAGCACAGCAGGGACAGTCCCCTCCCCGCCCTGGGCATTTCACTGTTGCTAATGCAGCCCTTGCTGCCTGTCTCTGCAGGGTACCAGGGCAGTTTCCACTCCATCCATAACTGCTTCCCATATGGTGACTGCTACCGGACAACTGAGGCAGCAGCCAGTGGGAACGGACCATCTGGGGAATCCCACAGTTTCAACCCGCTACGGCCCAATGGCTACCACAGCCTCAGTGCACCTTTACCTACCACAGGTAAGCCCCACGTGGGTACCTCCCCCAGGGCCTGCCAAGGCCCAACTGTGTGCTGGGTGCTTTGTGCACGTTATCCTGAAGCCTTGGGGCAGCCTTGTGAGGCAGAATCATCCCCACTTCAGAGGGGGACATAAAGGCTCAGAGAAGTCCCAGGACCCCTCAGAATGGGGATTTGCACACTGCTGGACTCCAAAGTCAGTGTTCCTTCCACGTTCTCATGTGGCTTCTGCATGTCTGGACTCTGGAGGTTTCTAAAGACACTGGGAAGAATCAGGCTGGGAGATCACAGTCTAGTTGATGTTTCCCTTTAAATATTTACTGAGCACCTCCTGGAAGCCAGGCACAGCTGCAGACCCTGGGGATACAACAGAGGATGAGACAAATATGGATCTTCATTTAACAGATGAGGAAACAGAGGTCCCCAGACACCACACTACCAGGGAGGGACAGAGCCTGGAGGCCATGTCTGCTCCTTGTGCTGCATTTGTGTCCTTTAGAAGGCCCTGGGCCTTCCCCAGATATTGCCCCTGGCTGGGCTAAGAACCCTGGTGGGCACACACCCAGGTGGAAGCAGGCTCAGGCCAGCAGGCCCAGTACTGGACAGAGCAGGAACATCGGGTGGGTGGGGCCTGACCCTCCCTGAGCTGCCTGAGCCAAGCCCCACCCCAAGTCAGCCTCAGGTCCAGCTGGCAGCTACATGGCCGGGGCAGGATGGGGGCCGCAGACAAAGGGGAGCCTGAGATCCTGTCCCAGAGGCCTCTTGGGCAGCTCTAGGTATGTGCAGCTGCAGATGGAGGGGTAAAGATATAGGGTCTTGTTCACACATACTTGCATGTCTGTGTAGGTCTTCTCTCTACATGTGTTTATGGGCACATCTTTGTGTACATGTGCAGGCAAGGTTGGCATGGGTGGCTTCCAGGCAGTGTGAGCCCCCAGGAGTGTGTAAGGAGCTCCAGGGCAAGTGTGCTCATATCTGCACACATGTGCTCACGTCACACTGTGCTGCTATTCATGCTGTGTGCACACACGCGTTCCCCAGCCTGTGACCCGTCTTCATGCACACATTGTGTCACCCATCTGTGATTCCTGTCTGTGTGCACACATTGCGTGTTATCTGTCCTGTGACCCTTGTATGTGGGTAGACTGTGTTCAACTCCAACATGTGTTTGTGGGTAGGCAGATGTTACATACATGCACCATGGGCAAATGTGTGCCAATCACAGCATGTGTGCGGCTGGTGGGCATGTTCCGTGTTTGCACACATGCGGGTTGGTGTGTGATTGGGCACCGGCCACCATCCCCGGCACTGCTGGTTCTCACCACCCCATCTGCGCCCATCCCCCACCCAGCCCAAGGGGGATCACAGCAAGGCCTCAGAACTAACTGAGTGGGCAAGAGGCAGCGTCCACAGCCCCGCACCAGGATGGGGGCCTTTTGGCCTCCTTTCTTCCTTGCATCTGAGTGGCAGCCTAGCATCCAGTGTCCAGGGCAAGCCCCACTCAGCTGCCCACATCTCCTCTGCCAAGCTGAAAACAGATGCGCAGGACTGAGTCCAAACTGCCAAGGTAGGGACGTGAGCCTCAGAAGTATAGCCTGGCCCCACTGCCTGGATGGGAAGACAGGCCCACCTGGCAGCAGCTCAGGGACAGAGCCCTTAAGGCAGTGATGGATAAGATTACCTCTCCAGGCCCTTCCCAGGTTGAGGATCCTCTGAGCAGTGACCCCCCACCTGCAAATAGCATGTCTGATGGACAAGTCAGATGTCTTGGAGCCAGATGGACCTGGGTTCAAATTCCAGCTCCCCCAACTACTAGCAATATGACCGTGGGCAAGTGTCTTATTCTCTCTGCACCGTGAGTCCCACCTCACAGGATTGCTGCAAAGCCTAAGTGAGAAGAGGCTTCAGTAAGTCCTCAGTGAGTGCCCAGCTAGTGCTGGTTCCCTTCTTTGGATTTCTTATGTCTGGTGAGGTGGGGTCTTTCTGCCAGGGCAGGATGAGCCCCTGAGCCAAGGGCTGTGATAACCCATGGCTCCCTTCCCTACATCCTGCCCCGAGTCCAGCACTGGGTGACAGACTGCCCTAAGCCAGCCTGGGCCTGTCTGCCCCGCTGCCATGGGTCCCTTGGGAGTGCAAGGCCTAGGATGTCTCTTCCCCAGTCCCCTTCCCACCCATCCACCAGCTCCTCTATCTGAGGGGAGCTGAGGGGACATTGCTAGGAGTTGACCCTGGGCAGGAGGGAGTTGTCAGGGGTCTGGGAAAACATCACAAGGCATAGCCCCGAGTTCTCCAGCCTATCCCCACCCCAATCCCCACAGGCTACGAGGCCCTGGCCGACGCTCCATGTCCCACAACACTGCCACTGCAGCCACCTGCAGACATCGCGTCCAGTGGCCCCGAGGACTGCAGCTTCTTTCCCAATGGGGCCTTTGACCACTGCCTGAGTCACATCCCCTCCATCTACACGGACACTTGAAGGAAGGCCCTGCCCACACCTGCTCGCCCTCCACTGCAGATGCTACCTTGTCCACTGGCCATCTGTTCCCACCCTGCATGCACCCAGGCCAAGCAGCCAGGCTACAGCTCTCTGCAGACTCAGGGTGCCTGGTTGATGGCAGCCGCCCAGCACTGGCCAGGAGCCAGCCTTCAAGCCCAAGCCGGGTGCTCAGAGGTGCCCATCAGGATCCATGACCTGGGACTTTCCTTTGTGTCTTCCTTTTTGCTCTCTCCAACGGTTTTGAAATCACAGACCTCGTGTATATAAAATGTACAGAACTTGTTCTCCATTGCCCTGCCAGTTTTATATTTTTGGTTTTACAAGAAAACATTAAAAACTGGAAATGAGACTTGGGGCCTTGGTCCTGCTTTGTGATTTGTCCTAGAGGCCAAGTCTAGGAGCCCTGCAAGGAGTGTGTAACTAAGAGCCAGCATGGGGGCTCAGGAGGCCACACAGGGCCCAGCTCAGGCCCCAGCTCCCTCAGTGGGGGGTGGAGCCCGCATCACATGGCCCCCACCACGTGCAGGGGGCCTTATAGACATCAGCACCAGTCCCAGGACCACACTGCAAGGCAGGCTTATCCCCACTGGCAGGCAAGCAGATCCAGGCTGAGACTGAAATTGGAACCCAGGTCTGTCTGACCCAGACCTTTGCTCTCGGCACTGACTTCTCAGCTGGTGGAAAAACATGCTTCAGTTCTGGTGCTAGGTTTGGGTAAGCAGGGAAGGTCATGGGAGGACAAGGCAGGCCTTACAGGGTCAAAGCCCAAACAGCCTCTGGAAGGTGAGTAACACAGGCAGGGCCCCTGCAGGTGGGCTGCGTGCAGAAAGCATCCTTTGTGCACAGAGGTCCACCCCACCCTGAGAGGCCCAGAAGAGAGGGAAGAAATAGCCAGTTCTGAGGACATCAAGGCTCACAAAGAGCTCTTCTTCCTCTTGCCTCTTTCCCTCGCCAGCGCCCAGCACCAGAAACAGGCCCCCACCCAGGCCTGTGCATGTGGCCTGGACTGTGTCCTACATCTCACCAAGTCACCTTGAAGGTAAAAGAAAAAAAAAGTCCTCAAGGAAAACTCCTGCTAAAGTGAAGCAAAGCAAGGGAAGTCGTGTTTGCTGCACACCTACTGTATGCCAGGCCCTCGCCCGTGTTCCTGGGAACAGCCTTATGGAAAATTCTCTATTCTCCTGTAGTGAAGTGCAGCAGGCAGGATTCAAACCCAGCTCAAAGGAACACCTGTTTGTACTTCCGGCATGGCTAAGTCAGGTAGGCAAAGCAAGATGGAAAGATCTAGTCAAACCCCTTTTTTAAGAGGGAAACAGGTTCAGAGAGGCCAAACAGCCAAGCAGTGACAGAACCAGGGTGCGTGTCTGGCCCTGCTTGTAATCCAGTGAGGCAAGGAGCTCACCTAGCCACGGGTGCTGCTCTGAGCCAGGCCTGCGATTGCTGCACTGTGGCTCAGCACTGCCCACTCCCCACCTTCACTCCCAGGTGCACAGCCACCTTGCTCTGGGTCCAGCCTGTATCTGGGGCCCCCTTTCCTCCGGCTCCGGCTGGCTCCAGCCAGCTCTGGCCAATGAGATGGCCAGCATGGGAAGGAGGGGGAGAGTGAGTGTCCCTGGGCAGACAGCCCTCCACTGAAGGTCCTGGCTTAGTCAAGTGACCCTGTCCACACAGCACAAGCCTTGGCGGCCGCCCCTGGCTTCCCCCTCAGGCACCCGCGGGGGGCGCTGCACTGCAGGAAATGCTACCACTCTTAGGAAAGTCAGGACGCCACACTGTCTGTTTGCCTGCACCCCCTCCACACACACCATTGTAGGTAGTCCCTTCATTAAACCCTCTTCAGCTGTCCCAGTCAGAGGGCCTTCAGTTTCCTGCCAGAGCCTGACTGGCAGTTCCCCCATTTGACAGATGCAGAGACCGAGGGACAGGGTACCTAAGTAACAGGTCCATGTGGTACAGCCAGCGGGTGGTAGAGCTGGGATTCAAACCCAGGCATTGGGCACCAGAGCACATGCTCTCATGCACTGCACTTTCTACCACCACCAAAGACTGGGGGCGACCTGGCTCCCACTCCTCTCCCAGCCGTGGCTTTGCAGAGCAAGCCTGGTGGAGCCCCCAGCGGGGAGGAACTGACCTAAGGTCACACAGCACACTGGCGTCAGGGAGGAGGACCCAGGGCCTCTGACTCCCACCCAGGCTCTCCTCACCCCCACCCCCACGCCCGCCCCCACCCGGTTATGGAACTAATTAGGTCGTGGCAACATTCCTCTAACGAGGGTGCTCAGGAATCAGAGCTGCATGTCACTGTAAGCACTTAGTCTGCTCCAGATGAGCAGAATTAAGCTGTACAATGAGGACATACTTCTATTAATAATGAAAAGGGCAGAGCTGTGAGCAGAAGAACACACAGGGAGCTGGCAGTTGGATCCCATTTAATTTCAGAGAGACAGAGGGAAAAACAGACAAAGGCAGAGAGAAACAAAGAGAAAGAAAAGACGAGTGAGGTGGAGACAAAGGCCCTGCACCCAGTAGCTTCCGCCACCACCCCGGGCGGGGCTGCGAATGTGATTCTGCCCTGGCCCTGCTGGGTCCTCTCTGAGCCTCCCGTCCTCCTCTTGGCACACTCGGGGACCTCCCCACCCTATGCCCACTGGGTCTCACGCCCAGTCTAAGGTGAGCACGGCCATGGGCGGGGCCCTGGGGTAGGACCCGCTGAGAGCCTGGACCTGAGCTCCCCCGCCCGCCAGGGCTTGCTCCTCTCACACAGGAAACAGAATGTGGCCCTTGCCGGGCTTTGCCCCATGCCAGGGGCTCTGCAGCCAGAGTGTACTGCCGTTACGGGGGGCATGGTGATTGCTGCCCCTCACAAGGGCCGAGGGTCAGGTGGAGGTGGCTGGTATATCTCACCTAAAGACTCCCTGGGGCCCTGTGGGGTCTGTCCCAGTCAGAGGGCCCAGTCAGAGGTGAGGCTGAGTCTGTCCGGGAGCCCCCAAGGGGGACCCAAGGTACAGGACAGTGCCCAGGCCTGCCAGGTGACCACACTGCGTTTCCAGTCCAGCCACTCCTGCAGCCCCAACCTTTGTTCAGTTCAGGCTGAGACTGGCCTGGCTCTCCTGCTGCCCTGCCTCCACCTCCACCGGGGGCCCTGTCTCCTACCTCGTGTCCCTCTGTCTCCCCCTCCCAGTCCCTCTGTCTCCCCCTCCCAGTCCCTCTGTCCCCATCTGCCAGTCCTGTCTCCTCTCCCCGTCCCTCTCGGCCTCCGCTCACTCTCCCCCTGGCCCCTGAGCTGTCCTTCCGTCTGCCACCCTCCCTCTCTCCCTGGCCATCTCCCTGCCCCTGCCCTTCCATCCCTACCACCCCCCTCCCAGTTCTCTCCCTTTCTCTGCCCTTCCCACTCTGCCCCTCTTGTCTCGCCCCCTCCATTTTCTCCCTCCCTGGCCCTCTTCCAGCTCTGGGAAGACGTGCCTCCGCCTCCCCTGCCTCCCCTTTCTTTGCCCCCCCACTCTTGCCTAAATCTCTGCGGCCCAGAAGCAGCCAGCACCTTGCCCCCAGCGCCTCAGCCTGAATTCCACCTGCCAGGGATGCCTGGGGAGAGGGGATATTAGGATCTCCCTGTTGCCCTTCATGGCCAGGCCTAGGGGCCCCTTGATGCTGGGCCCAGGGATCCCGCATACCTGGATCCTGCATGGACTCCCCCTGCCTGCTGATCTCTGTCCCAGCCGGTCCTCCAGGTCCTCCTGGACCCAGACTGTTCAGGCTGAGAGGCCCGCTGAGGCCCTGGGCTCCGCCCCCTTCCCAGAGGGAGAAACACCGGAAGGTGTGGAGAATAAGGCGGCCAAGCAAGGGGGAGTCAGGAGCTGCAGGCCGGATTTAAGCCTCGGGACGCCCCCTCCCACCGGCTGCTGTGGAGGGTGAGGATGGGCAGCTCCCACAAACCCCGCCCTGTGAAGCAGGTCCTGATCTGCCCCCCATCACTGCTGACTGCCCCACCTAGAACAGTTACCCAGAAAACTACAGCATCTCATACCGTACAGCTCCTCTGAGAACCTCTGTGATGTTGTTAACAACGCTCTGCGAGGTAACCGTTAGCCCATTCTACAGAGGAAAGAACTGAGGCCACCAAGACAGTCTGGCACTCCAGTGCAGGCCTGTGGCCCTGGCACCAGGCCCAGCCGCCACCCCTGCCAACTGCATTACACAGCGAGAATGGGCCCTGGGCCGCGGCCTGAGGCGTTCTGGCGCGCGCTCTCCTCTGCCGTCCAGAGGGGACCATTATACTTTTACAAGTCCCGATTTATATACTTGCCTGGGCCGTCAGCCCTGCCAGGGATTTATAGGTTTCTAAGTGATCCTGTCTCTGGGGGGAAATGCAAATGGAACGTGAACAGGGAAGGAATGGCCAGACCTCATCAGCTCCACAGCTTCAGAGCCAAAATTCTTCCATTTATGCCCCGGGGCCAGGAGCCCCCATACACCAGGACCTGTGGAAGAGCCAGTGAAGAAACAGCCTCCAGGCAGCCCCGTGCCAGGCTTTGCCACCTAAGCAATGTGTCCTGTCTGTGCTGGAGGGTGGGGGCTGTCTGAGCCCCCAGAGGGCCAGGGAGTACAGGCCTGGTGTTGGATGTGGGCCGGGGGTGGCAGAGCGGACCTGGACCGGGCAAGAGCGAGCAGACAGCTACACAGCAGTGTTGCCACTAGACCAAAGGCTGGACTGTGCAACCTCCACCGGCCTTTCAGACCCAGCCAGGACCCATTACAGTTGCTGTCTCACACGCACACAGACAGCAGTGGGGCCAACCACCCCCGCGCTGCTCCTGGGACTGGACATAAGGCGGAGCACGTCCAGATGATTAATTGTGAATACACAGGGAAAGCAGGTGGCTGAGGCTTGAGTTACTACCTAAATGTTTTCTCAGAGGTTTGGGGCGGGCAGACCTCAGCCTCAGGCAGCCCAGGACAGCAGGAAGGGGCAGCCACGGTGGGCTCTTCTGCTCTCCGTTGTCCCATTCCCCTGACCAGTAGCCCACATGGTAGGAACTCAGCGTGGTCTGGAGGCTGCAGGGAAAGAGCAGAGTTGACCTAGGAGCTTCAGTCTGAGCCCATGAGTTTCTGTCAGCCTCTCAAGACTAAGAGGCAGCCAGGCCACAGCGGGGACAGACCTCACTCCACAGATGAGGAAACCGAGGCTCCTCAAGGCCACCCTTGCCCCAGACTGTGCCCAAGATGACTCAGTTTACCCGTCTCCACACTGAGCAGTTTGAAACAGAGCAGTCTCCTCCACTGGCTGCACACTGGGAGTTCCCATGGCCGCATACACAGACCCCACCCCTGAGAG